AAGCCTTTTCCGAAAGATCCCTTATCCCTCTGTGCCGAAAAAAAAGCGGCAGACATTTTTATGCTAATGAAGTAGGGGAAATTTAAATCCCTACTTCATTAGCAATTGCGATACTTCTAATTTACATCCCTTTTCCGAAAAAGGGATGTAGTCTAGACGTAGCCATACAGTATTAGATAACTTCCTGGTACAAGTGCTGAAGGAACCGACCAGGGTCATGCACAGTTTGACCTGCTTGCTGCTCACAAACAGGGAGGAACTAGTTGGGGAAGTAGATGTGGGTGGCAACCTGGGAAGCAGTGATCATGAGATGGTAGATTTCAGGATCCTGACCAAAGGAAGAAAGGAGAGCAGCAAAATATACACCCTGGACTTCAGAAAAGCAGACTTTGACTTCCTCAGAGAACTGATGGGCAGGATCCCCTGGGATGCTAACATGAAGGGGAAAGGAGTCCAGGAGAGCTGGCAGTATTTTAAAGAAGCCTTATTGAAGACACAGGAACAAACCATCCCGATGCTCAGTAAGAAAAGCAAACATGGTAGGCGACCAGATTGGCTTACCAGAGACATCCTTGGTGATCTTACACACAAAAAGGAAGCTTATAAGAAGTGGAAACTTGGACAGATGACTAGTGAGAAGTATAAATATATTGCTCGAGAATGAAGGGAAGTAATCAGGAAGGTGAAAGCACAATTGGAATTGCAGTTAGCAAGGCACATGAAGGGTAACAAGAAAGGTTTCTACAGTTATGTTAGCAATAAGAGGGTGATCAGAGAAGTTGTGGGGCCATTTCTGGATGAGGGAGATAACTTAGTGACAGATGATATGGGAAAAGCTGAAGTACTCAATTCTTTCTTTGCCTTTTTCTTCACAGACAAGGTTAGCTCCCAGACTACTGCACTAAGAAACACATTATGGGAAGAAGGTGGGTAGCCCTTGGTGGAGAAAGAACAGATTAAGAACTATTTAGAAAAGCTAGACATACCCAAATCCAGATTTAATGCATCCAAGGGTACTGAGGAAGTTGGCAAGTGTTATTGCAGAGCCATTGGCTAGTATCTTTGAAAACTCATGGAGATCCCAGATGATTGGAAAAAGGCAAATGTAGTGTCCAGGGACAATCCAGGGAACTACAGACCAGTCAGCCTTACCTCAGTCCCTGGAAAAATCCTGGAAGGAATCCTCAAGGAATCAATTCAGAAGCCCTTGGAAGAGGGGAATGTGATCAGGAATAGTCAACGTGGATTCACCAAGGGTAAGTGATGCCTGACCAATCTGATTAGCATCTATGATGAGCTCTGTGGACATGGGGAAGTCAGTGGATGTGGTATACCTTGACTTTAGCAAAGCTTTTGATATGGTTTCCCACAGTATTCTTGCCAGCAAGTTAAGGAAGTATGGATTGGATACGTGGACTGTAAGGTGGACAGAAACCTGGCCAGATTGTTGGGCCCAATGGGTAGTGATCGATGGTTTGATGTCTGGTTGGCGGTCAGTTTCAAGTGGAGTGCCCCAAGGATTGGTTCTAGGTCCGGTTTTATTCAACATCTTCATTAATGACTTGGATGAGGGGATGGATTGCACAGTCAGCAAGTTTGAGGATGACACCAAGCTAGAAAAAGTCAGCTCCCAGACTACTGCACAAGGAAAAGCAGTATGGGAAGGAGGTGAGCAGCCCTCGATGGAAGAATATTGTTGGAAGAATTCAGCCTCATGAGATGTCAGCTCATGATTGTTAAAAATTATTCGCCACCTGTTATTGTGAGTTTTATGCATTGTACAGTTTATTTTCCCTCCTACATCCCTACAAGTATCCAGTTCTTGATATTTTGTTTTCAAAATGTGTTTTAAACTTTCCAAATACGGAGATGTCAATTTGGGGTAGAAAAAGAATATTCATATTTGTGACTGACATTCACAGCACTAAAACTTGATTGCTTAATTGTTCACAGAAAACAGACAGAAGAGAGATATGAATTTGGCTAAAATAAGCTCATTTAAACATTTCAACTTCCCATTAGAAGGAAATTATTTGCATTATTATTCCAGATTTCATGCATGTAGGTACGTATATGATATATGCACACACATTCAGAATTGATTCCAAAAGAATACCTGTAAACATATGGAGGTGGTTCAGTCTCTGCATTCATTCAGTCTGATAACACAATATTTATATTGGACTTGGACAATGAGGGGCCAGATCTACAAAATTCGGAGGCACCAAAATCACGGGCTTTATTCCTAAGTCCCAGTTTTATCACCCATAGCCATCGTCAAAACTCCAGGAGGACTGGGCTCACCTATCTCAAGTGGGTGCACTAACCGTTGGACTACAGAGTCACTTTCACTCTTTCAAGCCCAAGATCTGTTCCAGTCTCAGTATATTTTTGCTCCAAGCACACTTCCATTATTTATCCACAGTGGAACAGCTACAAAAGGACAGACCGAGGGAGACATATCAGAATATCCCATAGGTTGGTCATTAGAGCACTCAGCTGAGAAGTGGGAGAGCCCTGTTAAAATTTTTTCTCTCCTGACAGAAATCTGAATCTGCCTCCTCTCAGGCAATGTGCTGTAACCACAGGGCTAAAAGATATATGGTGGAAATCACCACCGCCTCTTGTTCTTCCTTCTGTTCAGTGTGGAGCTAAGCCAGCACCCTCACTCAAGAACTGAAGTTCATAAACCACCTAACTCCAAGAGACATGCTTCATGAATCACCAAAGCCTAGGTTTAATAGCAGAATGTGGCTTAGCATTCACCCTTTTTGGTGGCGTGTCCCATTTGCTTACCCTTTGTGGATCAGTCTTAGGCATCCATCTTGCCCCATTCAGAGTGCAGGGAGCCTCGGCCCTAGCTCAAGCTTTGTGGAGTGCAGTGTTATTCGTATGATCTTCTCAGAACCTAAAAGTTAGGTGCTATAATGCTCACTATTGCAATGTCTAAGCTCCTTGTGATCTCTCTGTTGGACCTAAAGTGAATCCATCAACTCATTTTACATAGGCTAATGGAGTGCCATCAAACGCTAACAACTTATCACTACTGATCTGGACTGGAATTCAGAGAGTAGAGGAGAAAGTTTCCAGATCCTGTTGCCAACCCCCTCATTTGGATGCTCATCAACTTTTTCTACTCCAAATTGACATCTCCGTATTTTGGAGATGGTGAGAGAACCCTGGCCATCTTGGTCTAGACTATGGAGATTACATCAGCATATCTATGCCAGCACAACCCAGTAGTGGAGATGCCGCCTACACATGTTGATTGAAAGGCATTTTTCAGTCTCTACAGAAATACTGTCAGCCTGCCAAAAAGTAGTTAGGTCGATGGAGGCACTGCTCAATTAACCTTGCTGCATCTATCCCAAGAAGGATGACTATATAGTAAGTGAAATTCAGAATGGAGGTAATAGTTTGCTTATGCAAGACAAAGCCCCTAATATCTAGTTGGTCCCAATAATATTGGGATGGCTAGTCTCTCTAACACTGTGACCTATGTCAACATAGCCAGAGTTCTCAAAGAGCAGGATTTCTCACGTCCCTAAGATCACAGCTACATCAGCCTTAATTTTAAGTCCAGACCAAACCTTGTATGTGTTAGTAAAATGCAAACCTCGCAAACACAGGACCATATGGTTTTCCTTTTATTTGTGGAGAGAATTTTCCAAGCGTGCCAAAGAGAATAGGTTGAAGTAGTAATTTTACAATTAAACTTTATTTCTCAAGAGAGCTTATTGAGGTTGAGGGCCTGTAGGAATTTCCTTTTATAAACCAACTATTAATTTTTTCCCAGCCTTGACTGGAATGATTGTAAAAGATTCTAAGATGTTTAATTCCTACACATTAGGCATGACATTATCAACAAAGCTCTTTTTGGATTACTCCCCCACATTAGAAAATACAAACATTTAACATGCAAGACCATTTTTGCTGCAGGGTGGGGGAAGGAAGAGAAAGAGCCCACTATTGGATACTGACATAAAAATTCCTGGGGAGGGATGGAGGTCCCTTAATTTTTCTTCCCCCAATTCTCTCAGTTTAGGGCCTGATTCTTCTTTCCCTTGTGTCAACTTTACTCCTTATTTGTGTTGATGAAAGGGAGATCAGAATTAGGCCTCTAGTATATTAAGAATTTTACCTACATCTTAAGAGTTTATGCAGCAATCTAGATACAAGAACCCACATTTGCCCATAATGTCAGATTTACTGAATTAACTAGGAAACAGAAATTCATTCCCTTCCTTTGGTAACTGATGTTGATAAGCTAGCTATGCCAGCATTTACTTATTCTACTGCCTGTGGGTACCACAAAGGGAAACATTGATGTCACAGTGTTCTAGCACACTGATGTTTTCTGATTAATAGCACCCACTTCCTGATGTGAACATCTGTGGTTTACCCCAGCCTACCTCTGCCTTGCATTCAGGCATTTCTGTCTACCTACAGGGACTGTGGTGCATTTCCAGATCTTGGGAAAATCTCAAAGGTCAATCTTCTTGACATAAAAACAAAACAAAGAAAAGAGAGCAGGAGTTTTTGGCTCACAGCAGCTGCTGCTGGCTTAAGGACCAAACATTAGAAGGCACAAACATATGGGAATGTGTGGTATGCCCCCAATCCATCTTCCCACAGCAGGCAGCCACTGAAAGGCTATGAATGTTAGGATGATAAGTATCAGAATGGCAGGGGGTGAGGGAAAGGGAGGAAACCAGGAAGATAAATGGATGCAAATGTAAATGAAGATGAGGTAACGACCACCATTACTAGGTTCTGCTGCACTGAAAAGCATGAGTGCATTCAAGAAGATGGATTTTCAGGCCCTATAGAAGACAATGAAGGCACAAACCACAGCATGGGGTTGTGACTGAAACAGGAACCAATTTCAAGAAAATATCCCAGTGGGCAAAGGAACTGGGGGGCACCCAATCCAGAGTGGATGGGGGGAGAAGTAAATTGGGGAGAATCAGAGTCCTATCAGACACAAAACAAGTACTAACCTTTGAAATGACATTTCTTTTCACCAAACTATTTCTCTGTTTCGTTGTTTATGTTCCAACCACTTGGCTTTAATCTGTCCCCTTCATTCTGTGACACGCGGGGTCCACACCCCCTAGGGGAAAACAAGGATGTGAAGTTGTCAAACTAGGTGCCATCTGTTGTTAGAACCCCAGGCCAATTTACTTGGAATTGTTTTCATGAAATTGAACATCTGAATCCACATTTATACTTTAGTACTTTGAGATATACTAACACAGAGAAGAACCGAGGGGATTGCTTTGAAGTGTATTTTTACTTATCCCAATTTCTTCTATTTGGCATCACTTTAATACCAGTTCTTGGTTAAACAACTTAATTTGGTTTAAAAGTTTCAGAGGGGTAGCTGAGTTAGTTTGTAACAGGAAAAACTAAACAAATACTTTAGCAGCATTTTAAAGACAAAACACGAATGGTATCATGAGCTTTCGTGGGCACAGTCCATTTCTTGCTGTGCCCACGAAAGCTCATGATACCATTCGTGTTTTGTCTTTAAAATGCTGCTAAACTATTTGTTTAGTTTTTTAAGTTAATCTTGGTTTGTTACACAACCCCCTCTGTACAGTGTTGCCAACTGAAGAAAGACCTCCTCAGCCAAGCTAACAGCTGTGCACAGTCTTTTTAAAGGTGCAGTGAATGTGGTAGGTTTTGGAAGCGTTCCCGTGAGAGGTACCAGACACGGCAGAGGAGGCAGTGTGGGGACTGGAATGATTGTTGGAGTCACCCTGCAATGAGTCCCCAGGCTTGTGGAGTCCAGGGTGAGGGTATTGTATTAGACTGTTGGTGCCTGGGCTCCAAATCACAGTTGCACAGTACAGGCCTCCATAATTACAAGGAAGGCAGTTACACAGCCCCTTACTGATCTGGATTAAATCTCAAAGCATCACAATTCTGCTACATTCATTTAAACTCTTCTCTCTTCTCCACACCCTCTCATAAAAAATCCCAACTCTGTTTCCTCTTGCTCCCAACTCTGCCAATCTTCACTTCCCTCTGCTCTCCTTCCTTCCAGACAGAGCCGTCCCATCCATACGATGGCTTGAGGTTGCCACTCCATGCTTTCGGGGACACAGCGGCAGCTTCCTCAACCATTCTATGGTTGCCTTGAGTCCCGAACCTGGGACACCTTGGGGGGGGGAAGGGTTGGAGGCCCAAGAACCCCTAGGAATGGCCCTGCTTCCAGACAACACCCATGCACACTTCCTCCAATCTCCTTGTCTGATTTGATTTCCCCTACCCCAGAACCAGTCTCTCCCTCTCTATTGATTCCCTCATTTTTTTCCTCCTCTTCTCCAGAACTTCAGTTCTCTCCCTGTTTCTCATGTTTCCCTTCTCTGGCTGGTGCTTTATTTCTTTATTCCTAGCTCTTCTCTATTTTGATGTTAATAGGGAGACTCCTCTCTCATTTTCTCCCTTCTCTCTGCCCTTTCTTCTCTTTCTATATTGCAGCACATGACTGCCCCACGCCATATGGTTCCATTTACATCCTTGCTTCTCCCTTTCCACCCACTCTTCCCCCCTCCCCCACCCTGTGAAGTGCAGATAACATCTACTTTCACACTGTAAGCTCCTGTCCCAGCCTCCTGAACTGTCTCTGAAACCAGAAGCCTGTCTTGTCTGTGGAGAGGAGGGAAGTGAGGGTTAGAGTTGAAGACCAAGACAGCAACTCATCTGCTCACCAGCTTGCCCACAGATAGACCAAAGAATTGTAGTGCAGACTGAGCCTTGCATCTCCCCCTTTTGATTACAGAGCAGGTAAGAGAAGCAGCAGCTGTTTGCTATCCACGATGTCTCTTTCCTCCATTCCATTACTTTCAATAAGCCACATGAACAAAGTATTATCTTAGAGGAGGAATTCAAAAAGAACAGAAGTAGATATGGAGCGAAGTGTAAATGTGAATTAATCCCCCCTGAATTCACTGGAGTGACTCCAAATTCAGCGACTGATCCTGGAAGGTGCCCAAAGTCCCTGAGCTCCCCTCGATAGCAATGTGCTTTAAGGGTCCTCATATTTACTCATTCATCTGAAGAAGTGGGCTGTGCCCACGTAGGCTCATGATACCATCTACATTTTCATTACTCTCTAAGGTGCTGCAGGACCATTTGTTGTTTAAGTTTTTTCAGTTACAGACTAACCCGGCTACCCCTCTCAGAGATTTTCAGGAAGTATTCAGTACACTGCAGACACAATCCCATATGCATTGCAACGTCTGGTTTTGAAATGGCAAGATGGTCCCAGCTGAGAGAGTGTGAATTATTCAGTGTTAACTTGTTATAGATGGCACCAAAAAGGGGAAACAAAAGACACAGCTAACTTGTCTCCTGACAGCTTCATGACAAGCATCTTGAGTGGCAAGAGAAGTAATTTATAGAAAAACTAGGTACCAATTACCATTTCTCCTCTAGTCTCAGAAGCTTAAATACACTAAGATCTACATAATAATGAGTTTTTGATCATTCTTCCATTACAAGTCATTTTCCTGAGGCTTGTGGAAATTGCTTACTGAGGTCTTCTCTCAAAGACATGCTTGGCATTCCCATCCTGTTCCACATGAAGTCTATAAGCCATAGAAGTTCAATTTTCCCCTTTCCTGGAGTTTAGCTTTGCTGGTAAGTCACATAATAAGAACACATCTCTGCCCCTCGTCCCCTGGAACCAGAGGATCACACCCACTTCTCTTTTATCCTGGTGAAGTTTTAACCCAGTGCATCTGCCACAGCAAGTCAACGACATTACTCAGTAGCGACAATGCAGGTGTCTAACCCCTGCTGACAGGGTGGGTGGGTCAATGGAAGTCTCCTGTGAGAGGGTCATAGATCTGGTTCCCTTGTAATAAGAGGGCCTGTATTTATTTAATTTCAAAGTAGATGCTGAAAAAAAAGATGAATGCCTGTCAAATGTGTTGAATCATGGAAGTGTAGGTCTTAAAGGCACCTCAGTTGCTCATCTAATCTAGTCCCCCGCACTGAGGCAGGATGAAGTATCATCTAGATCAGTGTTTCTCATCAGTGGTATGAATACCCTTAGAGGTACTGGAGAGAAATCTGGGGGAGCGGGAAAAACGTCAACACAACTGAAATTTGGAGAAAACTGATTTTTTTGTTTTAAGTTTTACAGCGTTTTATTATCTTTGTACTTTTTACACCCAAAAATTTCATCACCTGCCTGGCTACAATTAAGTTGTTTAAATAAATGTGTTCCAATGGTAGAAAAAAATGGTGTATGTGTCTGAAAACTGTAGGTACTGGGGTTACTTATTTTTTGAAAGGGGTACTTTATAAAAAAAGGTTGAGAAACACTGATCTAGACCATCCCTGACAGATGTTAGGCGTTGTTTTATGAGCAGGTTAAATAATGACGATGATTCTACAACCTAGTTTATCTGTTCCAGTGATTGAAATCTTACAGTTAGAAAGATTGTTTCCTAATTTTTCTGAGAGGTAGTCCTGTTAGTCTGTAACTGAAAAAACATTAAAAAACAGTGAATAGTCCTGGACTGATAAGATAAAGAAGTGGGTTTTGCTCATTGCCATTTTTTGTTAGTCTCTAACGTGCTACAGGACTATTTGCTGTTTAAGTTTTTCCTAATATTTAGCCTTAATCTCCCTTGCTGAAACTTAAACCCATTATATCTTGTCCTGCCCTCAGTGGCTATAGAAAACAATTTATCACCCTCTCCTTATAACAATCTTTTACATACTTGAAGACTCATGTCGACTCTCAGCCTTCTCTTCTCCAGCCAAAATAAATCCAATTTTTTTCCCAGATTTTCATATAGGCTATGTTTTCTAGACCTTTAATCATTTTTTTCGTTCTCCTCTGGAATTGCTTCAGTTTGTCCATAGCTTTCCTGAAGTGGGGGTCTCAATTCTGGGCACAATATTCCATGCATAATCAGCATGCAGAAGAAAGAATTATCTTGTATTTTGTTTACAATACTCGAGGCCAGTGGTCACCAACCAGTAGATCGGGATCTACTGGTAGATCTTGGAGCCTCTGACAGGTGATCCTGACTGGTTTGGCCAAGAGGCGATCAAGCACAGCACTTCAGCTGCCTCTTGCTCCACTGCTGCACATCTCCAGCTCTTTGTCTTGGAGCTGCCTGCCCCTCACGAGCCTCCTGCTTACTGTGCAGGGCAGAGAAGAAAGATGAGGGGGCACTGATGTCAGAGTGCCCCCTTCCTACCTTGTATTCTATCTCCACAGAACAGATAGGTGGGGCATAAGGCTTGGGATGGAGCAAGTTTGCTGGCTGCTTTTGAGAGTGGTGCAGGACCAGGGCAGGGGTGAGCCTGCCTTAGCCCCACTGCACCACCACACAAGAGCCACCTGAGGTAGCAGTGTCCAGCTGGAGCCAGAATCCCAAACCCTGCCCCAGTCATGAACCCCCTCCTGCAACCCAAGCCCCTGCCCTAGCCCTGGGCCCCTTGGGTCATAACTCCCTTACAGAGCCTTACCCTGAACCCCCTCCTGCACCCCAACTCCCTGCCCCAGGCTCAGCTCAGAGCCCCTCCCGCACTCCAAATTCCTTAGCCCAAGACTAGAGCCTGCACCCCAACCCTCTGTCTCTGCCTGGTGAAAGGGAGAGAGGAAGGGAAAACAGAGTGACTGGGGTAGGGCCTCCTAGAAGGGGCATGAAGGAGGTGAGACAAGGGTATTTGGGTCTCAGGTAGATCCTGGATTGCACTTAAATTCAAAAAGCGATCTCATGCTTAAAAAGGTTGGAGACCCCTGCTCTAGGCTAATACATCTCAGAATTATGTTCTCTAATTTTGCAAGAGATACAGTTGGATTTAGCAATTGATTATTCCTTCCTAAGTAGAGTGCTGTGCATTTGTCCTTATTGAATTTCATCCTATTTACTTCAGATCATTTCTCCAGGTTGTCAAGGTATTTTGCATGCTAATCCTGTCCTCCAAAGCACTTACGCTCCCCTGCCAGTTTGGTATTGCCCACAAACTTTAATTGTATTCTCTATGCCATTTTCCAAATCACTTATGAAGATGTTGACTAGAATTGGACTCAGGGCATATCCCCATGGGACCCCACTCAACA